CAAGACGTCTACTGAAATAGACCAGCACGTGACGTGTGGCGGCAACAGACAACACCTCAGATTTGAATGCCTGTTTTTATTTCAAACACGCTGGCCGTTACACATACCTGATATTTTGGTATTGTGATCTGACAATGTGTAAGGGCACGTTATTGTTTAAATGTTTTACATCATGGTAATCCAATCCATGATTATGGGTAATGCGTTCACTGGAAAGGTGGCTTATATCGTCGTATTGTACTGTGTCCAAATCATTAATTGTGCATCGACTTGCACTGCAGAGTTGCATACCTTAGGTAATCAGGATCCGCTGATCGTGGGTTCGAGTCCCAGATCAGCTCCGATTATGAGCACTATGGTGTACATGGATTTCCCCAATGTTTGGGGGTTTGTTGTCTTGTTGGTTGGGTGCCACTGAATTCATCAATGTACAGCTATGTGAAGGCGTTCGATGAAGACTCGATCTTGGACCAGAAAAGTGTGATTGACATCGTGAAGATCGATCTAGGCAGTTAGAATTATGCTAAGCAGGAACTTCAAGGGTGGTTCACCAGTGATGGGTTTCAGTAGCGGTCAACGGTTTAGAGCGTTCCACATTCCGTCATTAAGTACCTGACACGTCATGATACAACTGATGCTTTTCAAATCCTTACTCACACATTCACTCACTCTCTCCTTCCCTCACTCACTCACTCACTCAAAGGCGCACTCAGCAATAGTCCCGCTATATGGCGGCCGTCTGTAAATAATCTGGACCAGACTATCCAGTGATTGATACCATAGCATCGATCTACACAATTGGGAACCGATGACATGTGTCAACCAAGTCAGCGAGCCTGACCCTGACTGCCCGGTACTCACTCAAAGGACTTTATCCTAGAGCGCAGGTCACTAATCTGGGGAAATTCAGCAACGCTGGTCACGGAGTGTCCATGGATTGGTGACCGTGTTTGGCAGCTTGACTTCTGAGAGTTTTTAGGACTTCTGTCCTGCTCCACAACGAAGCACCTATGTCGTCACGCCGCAAGCAAGTGAGTTTGTTCAAAACTGCCTCTTCTCACTCAGCAGAAAATGGGTACCCGGTGGTATACAGGCAGATTGGGCTATCGAGGGCAATAATGTCCATCGTGCTGGTTGTATGCGCTTAGAGCATGTCCCAGCACTATATAAATGGTAATTGTTTTATTAAAACACACGTGTACACACACACACACACACACACGCACACACACACGCAGGCACGCTGTGTCCCTGGCACAGTGCTGTGTGACCAACCCTGTTCAATGATAACACACTGGTTTCTCTTTTTACTTTCACAACACACCGAATTACGTTTACGCCATCACCATGCCTGTAACCTTGTGTTTAAAGTAGGTTGCTCATGAAAAAATGTCGTCCGTGCCACACTTACTGTAACCCTCACAGGGGAAGTAAGGCGGCCATCATACCCATTCCATAGGTAATCAAGCCAAAGTTCTCAATGGATTTCCGACGCGTAAGAAATTAAGCATGTTAATTATTGGGCTTAGTGAGAAACAAATATCTTTTCCTGTCATTATAAGACAATATATATATTGACGGAACTCTTATAGATCTGCCCAATGTAACTTCTTAATGCTCAATGAATGTGTTTGTGCAAGGGAGAAAGTCATTTACAGCTATGAATAGGGAAAATTAGTAAAATTTTGGACATGAATTATTGACATTGATACATACAAGTTAATGTTTATCCATATGGAGGTAAATGTGAGGTAACCCAACGGGGTTGTTATTTAAGACTGGTGTCATGCATTGAGTGAGTGAGTAAGTCTAGTTTTACGCCGCTTTTAGCAATATTCCAGTAATATCACGGCGGGGAATACCAGAAATGGGCTTCACATATTGTACCCATGTGGGGAATCGAACCCGGGTTTTCGGCGTGACGAGCGAACGCTTTAACCACTAGGCTATTTATTGCCAACGTTGAGAAAGACCTCCACCAACTAGCACCCGGAGCAAAGGTTGAGTTGCTTTTGCTTTTTCTGTGGTACAAGCATACGTATCGACAGGTTTCTAAAATGCCACTCAAAGAAGAACACCTGGAGTTTTACATTAATACCTTACCTTACACCGTATCTTCTTCACAAAGAATCAATAATTTCAAATCCAAGTCATGACAGTGGTGGGCAATTCCATAGCCAATTACTTTGCAGTTTGACCACCTGAGTGAGTCTAGTTTTACGCCGCCTTTAGCAATATTCCAGCAATATCAAGGCGGGAGACACCAGAAATGGGCTTCACGCATAGAACCATGACCTTCGACGAGCAAACGCTTGAACCTCTGGGCTACCCCCGCCGCCCTGCGTTCCAAGTAGATCAAAGGAAGTGACACATTAGTAGCAGATCACCATTATGGTATGCCAACGTGCATGGTTTTGTATTGACTACTTATGCGTCATAACTCTGGATTCGAACCAACGACTAGTTTTGTTGGGGTTTTTTCGTTAAAAGCCCAAGCGGTGGAGTAGCCTAATGATTAAAGCGTCCGCTCGTCACGCTAAACACCCGGGTTCGATTTCCCACATGGGTACAATGTGTGAAGCCCATTTCTTGTGCCCTCCGACGTGATATTGCTGGAATATTGCTAAAACCGGCGTAAAACCATACTCACTGTTTCGAACTACTGATAACTCGAATGTCGTGTAAACGAGATTTCACTGGAATGACTCACTGGCTCTACAATTTTACTCGATACAGTGAACTTTATATTCACTGTTTAAAGGGGCATGTTCAGTGACCTAATCTGAACCAAAGGATCAACGATTGCGTAATCGATTCAACGATAAGTCAATAACCTATCATTTCTTCAAGGTGGTCTGGCAGGGAAAAAACAGCCGAAAAAATCTATCTGGCGGTGCAGTATTTATGGAGATGTATTTATTTCTGGCGTTAGATTTCCTTTGAGATCGATGCGCATGTGTGTCTTTTTATACAACGAGATTAAGAATTCTGTTTGTGTTCATCGGGATCTTACCAGCACGGTACCAAGACGTCTACTGAAATAGACCAGCACGTGACGTGTGGCGGCAACAGACAACACCTCAGATTTGAATGCCTGTTTTTATTTCAAACACGCTGGCCGTTACACATACCTGATATTTTGGTATTGTGATCTGACAATGTGTGAGGGCACGTTATTGTTTTAATGTTTTCATCCATGATTATGGGTAATGCGTTCACTGGAAAGGTGGCTTATATCGTCGTATTGTACTGTGTCCAAATCATTAATTGTGCATCGACTTGCACTGCAGAGTTGCATACCTTAGGTAATCAGGATCCGCTGATCGTGGGTTCGAGTCCCAGATCAGCTCCGATTATGAGCACTATGGTGTACATGGATTTCCCCAATGTTTGGGGGTTTGTTGTCTTGTTGGTTGGGTGCCACTGAATTCATCAATGTACAGCTATGTGAAGGCGTTCGATGAAGACTCGATCTTGGACCAGAAAAGTGTGATTGACATCGTGAAGATCGATCTAGGCAGTTAGAATTATGCTAAGCAGGAACTTCAAGGGTGGTTCACCAGTGATGGGTTTCAGTAGCGGTCAACGGTTTAGAGCGTTCCACATTCCGTCATTAAGTACCTGACACGTCATGATACAACTGATGCTTTTCAAATCCTTACTCACACATTCACTCACTCTCTCCTTCCCTCACTCACTCACTCAAAGGCGCACTCAGCAATAGTCCAGCTATATGGCGGCCGTCTGTAAATAATCTGGACCAGACTATCCAGTGATTGATACCATAGCATCGATCTACACAATTGGGAACCGATGACATGTGTCAACCAAGTCAGCGAGCCTGACCCTGACTGCCCGGTACTCACTCAAAGGACTTTATCCTAGAGCGCAGGTCACTAATCTGGGGAAATTCAGCAACGCTGGTCACGGAGAGTCCATGGATTGGTGACCGTGTTTGGCAGCTTGACTTCTGAGAGTTTTTAGGACTTCTGTCCTGCTCCACAACGAAGCACCTATGTCGTCACGCCGCAAGCAAGTGAGTTTGTTCAAAACTGCCTCTTCTCACTCAGCAGAAAATGGGTACCCGGTGGTATACAGGCAGATTGGGCTATCGAGGGCAATAATGTCCATCGTGCTGGTTGTATGCGCTTAGAGCATGTCCCAGCACTATATAAATGGTAATTGTTTTATTAAAACACACGTGTACACACACACACACACACGCACACACACGCAGGCACGCTGTGTCCCTGGCACAGTGCTGTGTGACCAACCCTGTTCAATGATAACACACTGGTTTCTCTTTTACTTTCACAACACACCGAATTACGTTTACGCCATCACCATGCCTGTAACCTTGTGTTTAAAGTAGGTTGCTCATGAAAAAAATGTCGTCCGTGCCACACTTACTGTAACCCTCACAGGGAAGTAAGGCGGCCATCACACCCATTCCCATAGGTAATCAAGCCAAAGTTCTCAATGGATTTCCGACGCGTAAGAATTAAGCATGTTAATTATTGGGCTTAGTGAGAAACAAATATCTTTTCCTGTCATTATAAGACAATATATATATTGACGGAACTCTTATAGATCTGCCCAATGTAACTTCTTAATGCTCAATGAATGTGTTTGTGCAAGGGAGAAAGTCATTTACAGCTATGAATAGGGAAAATTAGTAAAATTTTGGACATGAATTATTGACATTGATACATACAAGTTAATGTTTATCCATATGGAGGTAAATGTGAGGTAACCCAACGGGGTTGTTATTTAAGACTGGTGTCATGCATTGAGTGAGTGAGTAAGTCTAGTTTTACGCCGCTTTTAGCAATATTCCAGTAATATCACGGCGGGGAATACCAGAAATGGGCTTCACATATTGTACCCATGTGGGGAATCGAACCCGGGTTTTCGGCGTGACGAGCGAACGCTTTAACCACTAGGCTACCCCGTCCATTGAAAACAACCGTGTCTGTACCTTAACGAAAATGCGTGAGTGAATGAGAGACACCCACAACCACAACCACATCCACACCCGCACCCGCCGTCCCATCCACACCCGCACTAACCTCCGCACCTGTGCCTGTGCCTGCACCTGCACCTGCATCCACACCCACATCCGTACCCTCACCCGAATCCGTACCCGCACCCACATCCGTACCCTCACCCGCATCCGCTCCAACCTCCGCAACCTCAACCGCACCCACATCCGCACCCGCACCCACACCCGCTCCAACCTCCGCAACCTCAACCGCACCCACATCCACACCCGTACCTTCACCCGCATCCGCACTCGCACCCACTTCCACACCAACATCCGCATCCGCATCCACACCCATACATGTACTCCAATGCTTGAACAATACACACGGCTTGTTTTCTCTTTTTAATTAGAAGCCCATTTCTGGTGTCCCCCACTGTGGCATTGCTGGAATGTTGCTAAAAGCGGCGTAAAACAATATTCGCCAGTCAAGTGCATGAAGTGACTAATACGACCATAAACCTGCAATTTACGACTACGTAAAGGTGGCGTAAAACTAAAAAAATCACTCACTCACTCACTCACTCACTCTCTCTCTCTCTCTCTCTCTCTCTCTCTCTCTCTCTCTCTCTCTCTCTCTCTCTCTCTCTCTCTCTCTCTCTCTCTCTCTCTCTCTCTCTCTCTCTCTCTTTCTCTCTCTCACTCACTCACCTTTTAATTCAGACCAGTGATTACAGCCGATCGTTCCCCGCTGGTCTCAGTACATTGTGATTTATGTTTCTTCACATTTTGATGGCACTATATATATATCAGTCCCTGCTGCATGTAGCAGATGTATGATATATACCATCAATAACAGTGTTGAAGTTCTAGGGTAACGATGTATAAATAATGCAAATCCCGCAACACGGGTCGTAACACTTAATAATCTAGCACATTTATAAACCTTTTATGTACGTGGGTAAAGCAATACTGACTGATCTATATGTCTTTTTCAAATATTCATGGTTTATGTAAACAAGATTCGACACATACTGTCATATAGCCAGCTATTAATTTCATATAAATGTTCTGGATAAGACGAGGTGACTATGAAGTTGTTACCGTGAGTCTAATTATGGTAAATATTTTATTAAACCCATATATCGTGGAGGACAAGAAAGATTTAGTAAGAGCATGACTGATTCACACGGAACTGCGATTGTATACTCAATTACAAAAGTTAAGGAACACAGTCTCTTAATATTACATGTATACTATTCATAGCCAATACGACTCTTCTTCAAAAGTTGATTGATCAAGGTTACTGAGAGAGTTTTTTCAAAGTTGACATAGTGATAAATATTTTGTCTGATCCATATTTTGAGTAGTACAAGGGGCGGTATATCCAGGTGTGACTGTATTTCATGTTCCAGTGATTCTTTAGGTGAACAATTGACATGCCTTTGAATGCATTTATGATGGAAGTTGCAGGTGGGTCAAGATACGTTCACCTTTACGCGAACACAGATTAAAATGTAAATATTCATTACTAAAATATTAAAGGGGGGGGGGGGGGAGAGAGAGAGAGGGGAGAGGTCAGGCGATTCTTTCACAGTTAGACTTGATAGGCTGTACATCAGCTCAGGGTCCTCGGCCCTTGTACAAGCATCCTAGACAGTGAATTGGACTTCTCCCAGGGAACGGCTTCCTTGTCGAACTGGCCAAGAACTTTCAGGAGAATATGGAAACTCCCCTACACTGTAACATTCCGCATCACCCACTGTCAGTAGAGATGTGAACTAGGACCAAACCCGGGTATCTATATATATAATCTTTTATTCCTCCATAGTGAAGAGTACAGAAAGAGACAATATTTATGCACTTATTTCAGGATTTCCGTGCGCATTAGAGCCAATACCACGTTTTCTTAATCAGTCAAATGCAAGAGTCACAATGAGTCACTGGAACACAGCTTTGTACATCATGGTGATGTATTTTATGCACAGAGTGGAAAACTCAATCAAGTCCTCTTTGATCAGAGGAAAGTCGGTTGTACACGACAACAAGCACTCTGTAAGTTCATTTGGGTTCATGTTGTGAAGTTTCACGCTGAATTCGATTGGCCCAACATTGATTAGGCCTGTCCACAGTTCGTCCCGAGTTGCATCTGTGTATCCACACACAACTACGGCGTGCGTGAGGGGGTCATCGTACATCATCCCACACCGATGACACAGCCCTGCTTCACATAGGTCTCTCACTGTAGCACAGGCTTTGATGACAAAGTTAGCTTGCCGTCTGAGTGATGCATCAAGCAATGACACCTTCCATGCAGGGTGGACTTCAAGCTGGCGATGTATCCGCTGGAACTTGTGAAGATCAGAGTCATCTGCCAACCGACTGTTCCATTGTGCTACATGATACTCTCTGACTGAAGTCTTCACTATTCTCCTCCACTTCGAACGCCCTAGGAAGGACCCTGATTCTAGGAATTTTTCCAAGTGACAATAGAGTAGGTACTTCTTAAGCACCCTGACTACATCAGGCACATATCCAAACGATGACGATGGGACGTTGTGCAAGTAGCCCATCAACCGGGATATAAACAGTTTGTGAGGTAGATATCTGTGGTCCATATTCAAGAGACCACCCAGGAAACACAACTTCCGCTGGTCTATAACTGCCTCTAGAGGCAACACTCCAAGGAGTCCAAGACAACTATCAGTTCGAGTGGTACGAGGCAAGTCTTGGATTGATTTAATGACGTGTCTGTATGATCTCTCCAGAATTAAGATCTCAACTTTGGAAAGGTTAGTCCACAGTTCCGACCCGTACAGGGCTTTGGGAAGAAACACACGGTTAACAACTGTCAGGCTGATGATTGGGTTTGTAAACCGTGGGTGAAACCCGCAAGCTGTCAGTGATCTCACACCGGACCGCAAGGAAATGGCAGCTAGCGTCACATGCTCTATGCTTGACATGTTTCCTGACAAGACTATCCCAACATGGCGGATTGATTCCTTCCACGGGAGAGGTTGGTCATACAACCTGACTTCAACCTGCTCTAGCTGCTGAGATCTCGGCCGGTATGGAAAAGTGACAATTTCACTCTTGGAGGAGGACAGTACGTATCTCCAGTCGTTGCTGTATTCCTCCGAAATCCTCACCATCGATCTAAGGGCAGAGAGCCTTGATGAAATGAGTGCTACATCATCTGCTTGAGTGGGAGAACACACGCTTAAGTCCATCACGACAGCGCCGAGATTCGACTCAGAGAGTTTCTGGAGTAGGGAGTACCACCTTGTCTGATACCCTGCATCATGGGGATAGGCCTAGAGCACATTGAGTCAAGGAAAACTCGACACATCATTCCCGTGTACATGTCGTCAAGAACAGTCCACAAGGAGCCTTTAACTCCACACTCGAATAACTTGTATTTGAGACCACTGTGCCATACTGTATCAAAGGCCTTTGATGTATCCAGGAACACAACATGGGTATCCTCCTTCCGCTCGTGGTAATGGCGTATCGTCTCTTGCAAGTTGAAGGATGTGTGAAGGGCAGATAACTGAGATTGGTATGCCATTTGTTGTGGGTGGGGGAAGGTATCAGATTGATTTAGTCCGTCCAGTCGAGACAGGAGCACCATCTCAAACACTTTTGACAACACAGGGGAGAGTGATATGCCACGGTAAGAGTTCGGGTCTTTCTTTGATTTATTCCCACCTTTGTACAGAGGCACCAGGATGCTCTCGCGCCAAGCTGTCGGGATATGTCCGGATTCAAGAATGATGTTGTAGAGGGTTGCCAAGTGAAACATCAAGGTTCTGCCACCATACTTTAGGTGCTCGTACACGATCTTGTCAGCACCACCAGCTTTATTGTTCTTCAGCTTGGCACAGCACTCAGCGACTTCCAACTCTGTTCATTACAGAATATATATTTCATATTCACATTCCGATACAAATCGTTCCCTGACGGTTTTGAGTAGACTAATGCCTTGCCTCCGAATATATAAATGTGATAAAAACAAAGAATTGAAAATAAGACCCCTTGAGATAGGATATTAATTCAGGACCTGTGGATGGTCTACGCTTGTTTTATTTCAGGCTTCCTTATCACATCAGGGGCTGGAAGGAACGGTAAAAAATTATATGGTTCAGGGACAGTGAGACAAACGAGGGAAGGGAATGTGACGTCCAGAAATCCTTCTGTTTCACTTTTCAGGCCAGCCGACCTTCACCCGGCAAAGGATAATGGATAGTAGAAGAACAGCGTGGTTGAATTTCTCGATGCAGAAAGCATGTGTGAAGTCCAATTCCGGTGTCGTACCGTGATATTGATGGAATATTGCGAAAAACGGCGTAAAGCCAAACTTACTCACTCTAAAAAAATCAGTGGAATATTATAAAAAAGTGCCTTACTTTATTCACCGATATGGTTGAAATATTGCCGATGTGACGATAATCCCTCGCTCGCTCACTCACTCACTCACATTGTGTTTAATCCCAGGATTGACTCGCTAATCTGTACATCGAGTTGTCACCTTTCAATGACTGATATGTGTTGGACGGAACTGTGTACTCTCCCCTGAACATAGAAATACAGATTTCATACTTACGTTTGTAAAAGCTAATATATTTTATAATCATATTTTATAATCCCATTATTATATGTACATGTGTAAACTGGTGTACCCCCATCATTCCCCCATATGCTTGAAAACGGTATAAGAATCTACACCGAAACGTCGCTATTGTGAAAATAGAGAAGTTGATCATCCAGAAAGTTGTGCCATCTCTATCTCATTAAAATATAATAAACTGGAGATCAGAGACTTTCTTCATTTTCAGAACCTATAGTAATCTAGACTTACCCATTTCAACCCCAACAGATTTGCATGGGCTGTAGCGAACATATTTGTTTCAGGTATGACGGATTTATTGTTGCGCTTTTTGCATTAACCTATCGGTGGCATTGAGGCTACCAATACAATATACAACGGTAAATTACACAAATCGAGATTTGGTTATAAAATGTCTTGTGACCCAAGTCCACCGCTTGACCAGCAGTCAAAGTCCGCTGAAACTCGGTGATATCGGAGCCACCCTGTCTGTACGAGAACACCCTGGGGTCATCACACTGGTGGACAGTACTAATCACAATCGGCACTTCATTACGAAGTTTCCCGGTAATTAACGATGTCATCTGAGGTAATGGGTCTCTGACCCACAACTAAGACTTTTAACCCGAGCTGTGACCTTGTCCCTGGACAGGTCGATCCCAACAAATTGCGTTCGCAATAGTTACTATTCGTTCCCGGGGGACTTCCATATGACACCGTAGTTGACGGAGCCCCGCGAGACCTCGTGCTGCACGTGCTCTTGTCTACAATAACGTCACGAAATCCCCGTGCATGTAACACCCCGGTTCGGATGACAAACGCATATTGACACCTGACATGTTAAGTTATTAGTACTGAGGTACGTTCAATTATTGCAATAATTGAACATGACATGGGCATCAATTGAACCATTTACGTGTGAAGTCATTCAGTGCAGATCGCTGATGCAGTAGGCCGTTATTCGTTTCTTAACTCACTCACTCCTAACAATCGGCGAATATCGACTCCCGGGAAGTTACATATCATGATAAAATATCTATTTATTACGTCATATATAAAATCATGTATCTTAAGATCATTGTTGACTGTAATGCTTTTTATTAAAACTCAAATGTTCATGTTGATTTTAATATTGATCAATGGAGAAGTCCATATGACATCTAAACTAGAACGAGTTGACTTAAATAATATTCTTAAATACTTAAATACTATACGTCATAAATAAAATCATGTATCTCAAGGTCATTGTTGACTGTAATGCTTTTTATTAAAACTCAAATGTTCATGTTGATTTTAATATTGATCAATGGAGAAGTCCATATGATATCTAAACTAGAACGAGTTGACTTAAATAATATTCTTAAATACTTAAATACTATACGTCATAAATAAAATCATGTATCTCAAGGTCATTGTTGACTGTAATGCTTTTTATTAAAACTCAAATGTTCATGTTGATTTTAATATTGATCAATGGAGAAGTCCATATGACTATTTATAATGGATTAAACACTCGCAACTCACTCATGTTTAAACAGGATAGAAACACACTGTGGCATCATAATAAAAATTACATTTTCGTGTATCAAACCTTAACTTCAATTTTCTCTTATCTTATCACGTTTTTAAAATTGTCAGTCAAAAGAAAGTATACACTGTAAACTGGATTTGACCAAAGCGTTCAATATGTTTCAAGACACAATGCTAAACATGGCTTCAACACAGCTTCAACATAGCTGCGTCAACATCGCATATACATGTTCGTTCCATTTTAGCCACGTACAAACATTCGAGTATACCTTTTTTTGCACGTCTGTGTACTTTTTTAACACACATGATGCAGTAGAATTGAGAGTAGAATATGAGACACTGATATATGTGTGTTTCAAATGTATGATTTGTGTGGGGGATATTTCTCATTTTAGACTATATTTTGATTTTTAAATTCAACACTACATAAATCATCTAGCTCTCACATTAACGTAATCCAACGCTACGGCTAAAAGCTCCAATGTTTTCACATAACGCGCATTTCCACTAAAATATCACACCCCATGGAGCGATATCATATAATAATATCTTCATCAGAATGAGTCGTCGTTTATCATGTTACTCAAAGTGACAAAGGCTATAACCGCCATCCATCTTTGATAGCTAATGGAACACTTGAGAGA